GGGGGTCCTCATGGGTTGTCCTGGGTCTGTGGGTCGGGTGACCCAGGCCTAGCACTCACCCACCTGTCACCCACCCACTTGGGTGACCCAGGCCTAATGTTGACCCACCTGTCACCCACCCAGGCTGCCTGCCCTTGACCCACCCTCATCCCACCCAGGTCACCTTATCAAGACCCGCACCTGACCCAATGTCCTCGTGGGTGGGGTGGGTGCACGTGGGTGCGGGTCCGGGTACCCGGTGCTAATCTCTGGTGCAGACGGTCTTTTCAAAATTGCCACCACAGCCCCACTATAGTAGTGGCTATATATGTGGCAAAACACCGAAAAGTGAACTGCTGAAACACCTGCCATTAGACCAGCCCGCCCAAGAAATCATAATGCAATTAAATGCAACAACTTCAATAATTTCCAGGCATGGGTGCAGACGGTGCAGGCAGTGCGGGCTACGCCCGCAGAAATCACAAATAGTGTGCCCAAGACTGTTACGGATAAGACTTCAAGGTCCAGTGAGAAACCACAATACGACGGTCTACCCGGGGGGGAGAGAGAGAGAGAGAGAGAGACAGAGAGAGAGAGAGAGAGAGAGAGAGAGAGAGAGAGAGAGAGAGAGAGAGAGAGAGGTTATCGTGTGCACTTGACACTGTCACACCTAGCAAGACTTCGAGTCGATTACATCACATCATTCATCAAATACATCGACAGCCGCCAATCCCCCAGCCCTATGCTGCTCATACGCACCCCCATCCATCTCCCCTATCCCCCCCTATCACTCAGTCTTCACTAGAATAGAGACCCTCGCTCGCTTGTTAATGCTACATCTAGACTGGAAGCTGGCCCACATACAGGGATAATGACCAAGCATTCTAGAAGTTTCACGTCCACTGAGTCAGAGCCTGGAGTCCAGTGAATGCCGCACTGTTATCCAAAGTTCCAGGTCCACTGGATTCTGAGTACTACTAAATGAAATTCAATGCAGTGCCAACCCGTCCTAAAAGTTCCAGGACGGGTCCACTGAGGCAGAGCTTGGCAGACTGTGTTTGGGAACTAATGTTATTCATGTGGCCCTGCTCTAACGAAGTCCGTGGAGCTAAACTTCGGTAGCAGGGCACAACGAAATTTGGAGCACTTTCACAGCAATTTCAGAAAGACAGATGATGAAAAAATAAAAGAGAACAAGGCACAATGAAAGTTACAGAAATTTCAAAAGCACACAGTTCATAACGAACGATTGAATGATCTATGGCCCCGGTCCGTGAGGTCATGATCAGAGTCTCGTACTCTAACAACCCAGTGCATATGACAATCTTTTTTTTTTTTTTTCCAGATCTCAGTTTCAACTTTTAAACGATATCAGTACGCAGTCATGGACCTTTCCTTCTCTACTACTGAAAGATCACGCTCACTCAGTCTGCTCTATCCATACGCCTCTTCAAGCCAACAAGGTCACATTTTAAAAGCAAACGACATGGAAGTGCGGCTTCTTGAAACCTCTGTAAACAGCTGATCACCTAACTTTGGTCCAATCACATACTCTTTTATACCCCTGTGCGCCCGACGTTGCTCAGACAAGGGATCAGAATTAGCCTGCCGGCTGTCCACCCACCTCCCACTACCCGCTCAGATGAACCAGATGAAGTCAGTCCCTTCCACCGAGCCATCTCTGTTCTTCATCATAATCTGTTCCACTGAAAGATAACGCAAATAGCGTATCACCCTCTCCTCAGACAGCATCTCAGCCATGCCTATCCAAGATCACCCTCTCAACTAGCAGGCTTGTCGTGAGTGGACCAGCCAGTAACAGAGTTAAAATCACTAAAATTGGGAAGAACATTTCGAATCCCCTCTGTGTCATCTGTAGTATCTGTACCAGTGAAACACACCTGATTTGGCATATCTCAAGCAGCATCTCAGAAACAGAAGACATCAGCTACATCGGCAGCAGCAGCATATGCCGCGCCATCAAAAGCCTACCTCTTCCCCATCCTAACTATTCACCCTGCAGCAAGTCCATGAGAACGATTACAGACCACCATCCCTCTGCATGCAAGAGGCATATTCAACCTCAGCCTCGTAGGCATTCAAATCCACTCCGCGGCAATCAATAACGCGGATAAGCTGCATTCATAGGTGTATCCATCCCAAAAACACAGTCCAGCCAGCGCATGAAAATGATTAGCAAATTTGAGAGAGAGACACCATGCAGTGTACCCCCAATCGGACGGTGACCGAAAGTAATTGGCCAGCTGCTGCAGCAGCTAATCCAATCAAGAAGAATCTCCAATTCAAAGACATCATCAATCAATCCATCCACTGACATTTTGTTGAATTCGATGTTCTTTTCGAGTGGTCACATTGAGCTTCTATACATTTTCAAAGTAATTTGCAAGGAAAATGAGCGATAGCGAATTCCAGAAACCAAGCAGCATCATACACATGAAACCAGATAATCTTGACCTTGAACCAAAAGCAGAATTGCAACTCGAGTTTCACCAAATAAGAGCACAGCAAAAGCTCACAAGTGACAATGTTGGAATAGTCTCATCATCATCAACAATGAACCAACGTCGAATCCCTATCTGGCGCTCAGCGCCCAGACTACAAATGGCAGATGCTATCTAGCCTATCTACAATGCCGCTGATGACATCAACAGCTTCCCAAAGTACGAGCAGATCTCGGGCAATGCCGTTCGCATCAAGCACCAGGTAGGTCCCTCGCTCCACTCACAACCTCGATCCTCCACACAGATGCCACATGCACCCTAAGACCACCATGCGCCCCATCCAGCAATGCGCCGAGTGCCCGAATGTCTGGTCAGCGGACAGGCCCTTTCCAAGTGGCTGCCATCCGTGGGCTGCCTGGCGAACCTGGGCCTCCCCACGAAAGCTTCCTGTAGGTCCCAAGTGGCTGAGCCCCTGTCCCAGGGAATCTTCCACAAGGCCTGGGGTGGTTACCCGTGTCCAACTGCCAGCGGAAGGTGTTCAGTTCATGCCCCGTGTCTGGCCCAGGGCCTGCCTCAGATACGTTTGGATAAAGGCAGGCAGGGCCTGGGCTCACTCAACCAACTGACGCTGCACAACTTCCTGAATTTCCCCCAACCGCGTCAAACATAGGCCTCACGACACTTGTCAGGCCCGCCTTCATTTAGGGCGGCCTTTCTCGCTGAAACAGGACCCAGTAGGCCTTTCCGAGGCTTTTAGCCTCTCATTGGCCAGCTGCTGCAGCTAATCCAATCAACAAGAAGCTCCAATTCAAAGACGTTCATATCAATCAATCCATCCACTGACATTTCGTTGAATTCGCTTTTCTTTTCGAGTGATCAGATTGAGCTTCAAAAAATTTTCAACCATCTTTCCATCCCCTGAGAAGACTTCACGACGTTCACATCACGAACAGTGATTTTGTCAAAGCGGTTGTTTTATACTTTTTGACATCGGAAAATGTGAAATTTAGAGCGCCCAAATGACCTACATTCTGAAAACGCCATACCACCTGGATGTATCTGGACTTAATTACCCAGATACATCCAGGGGGTCAACTTCTCCAGAACTCCAACTGAAATCACACTACGATTATTCAACTTGTCATGTATGCAAACAGCGAAACAGCAAATTGGCGACAGGCGCCCACTCAGTACTCGAGATATCGTATCCACATAAGAGTTCTCTTCAAACTGGCTATGGCGACTGAGCGCCCACACAACTCACTGTTCGCACTCTGGATCACCCTGGATGT